CAAGTAGCCGGGAATTACAGGCATGCACTACCACGCCCGGCTGATTTTTTGATTTATTGTAGAGATGAGGTCTCGCTGCCCAGGTGGGTCTCGAACCCGCGGGCTCAGGCAATCCACTCACCTCAGCCTTCCAAAGGCACGGGATTACAGGCTGAGCCACCGAGCCCAGCTTCACCCTGAAGATTCTTACAGAACTTAAATGTAGTGGGCACTCCTAGTGCAATGCTTGGGATATAGTGGGTGATTAATAAATATTAACTGAAGAACACAAATTGCTGACATTTGCTGAGAATATATTACATGTCAGGCTCTATATTAAGCGCTCTATAAGTATTGTCTTATTTCAGCCTCTTAAGAACTTTATTGAGTAGGTCATAACATATACATGTTAGTGTTAATATTAATATATATTAATAACACGTAACATTACCTGTATGAGACATGAATAAAAACTGGAATGTTGGGAGGTTAAGTCACTTACTTAAGGTCACATAACTAGCAAGTGACCATGCTGAGATTTGAACTCAGGCAGTCAACACCAAAGCCTGCTCTCTTTTTTTTTTTTGAACAAGAGTCTCACTCTGTCGCCCAGGCTGGAGTGCAGTGGCATTCTCAGGCCTCAGACTGTGGGGCTCAGGCAATCCTTCTGCCTCAGCCTTTCAAGTAGCTGGAACCATAGGCATGTGCCACCATACCCAGCTAATTTTTTGATTTTATTTTAGAGAAGAGATCTCACCAAGTTGCCCAGGCTGGTCTCAAACCCCTGGGCTCAGGCAATTCTCTTGCCTCCACCTCCCAAAGTGCTGGGATTATAGGTGAGAGCCACCATGCCCAGTGAAGCTTGCTTTCTTACCATCACTCTTTGCCACTCAAGTAAGAACAGTACACATTTTCTCAAGAGTAAGTAACTGCTTGTAGGCCCTGCATGGTCCAAATCCATTCTTTCTCTTTTTTGAGTTGGAGTCTCACTCTGTCACCCAGACTGGAGTGCAGTGCCACGCTCCCAGCCACCACAGCCTCTACCTGCTGGGCTCCGACGATCCTTCCACCTCAGCGTTCCAAGTAGTCAGAACTACAGGCACGCGCTACCATGCCTGGCTAATTTTTTATTTATTGTAGAGACGAGGGCTCATCAAGTTTCCCGGGTGGGTCTCGAACCCGCGGGCTCAGGCAGTCCACTCGCCTTGGCCTCCCACAGTGCTGGGATTACAGACTGAGCCACCAAGCCCGGCCCAAATCCATTCTTAAAAGAGAAACAAGTGGCAGTACCAGGATTCAAACTTTAAAATATCTGATTTTAAAGCCATTCTTAATCACAAACAAAGCTGAATGTATGCCTCCATTTATTGAGATAGGTCATATATTGAAATAGGTCATTTTTTAAAAATTTAATCAATATTTTTTATTATGGTTTTGTGGGGTACAGTTAAGGGTTAGGTGTACAATTACGTTTAATTCAGGCACTCTGTTGATAAGAGGTGTTTCCCCATCCCCAGACAGATATTTGCTACTATTAATCCCATCCCCCTGAAATAAGTCATTTAAAGAGACTCCATGCAGCCATAAAGAAGTACAAACAGAAGGACTTGGCAGCAGCTTTGATGGATCTAGAGTCTATCATACTCAGTGATCTCTCACAGAAACAAAGAACAGAGTACCACATGTTCTCACTCATACCTGAACATTTACCATAATACTATAAGAAAAGGATTGGCAGTAGTAGGATACTGCTCGGGGGGAGGTGGAGGGTGGGGGCACAACATCAATAAGAGCACCTGATCTCAAATCAGGCAAAGTGGGTCCAAAGGGAAGCCCAAACGTTACCTGTATGATGACCACTTGTATACCTGATCCTGAATTGTACCCCCACTTCTTTAAAATAAAAAGAAAAGACAAAGAAAATGTTACCATAGGGATTGTATAGGATATTAGTGGAATTCTTGGGAGAGGTCCCAAAATCAACCTAGGATAGTCATTCTGAAAGAAATCTGCAAATGACATTCCTAGGAACAAAAAAAATTGCAGAGCAACATCTCTTTTTCTTGACATGCAACTGAACTGGATAAATAGAAGACAGTGAAAAAATTCTGCCAGTTGAACTCAGTGATGGAATGATCAATTGGCCTTCAGTCGCCAGCTAAACACTGTATCCTACCATGGACTTCAGAGCGCATACATCTTAGTGATAGTAAGAGTGAAAACAGGAGCTGTGAAGGCTGCACATCGGGGTTTGAATTCTGGATTCACCACTGTCTAGTAGTATAAATCTCAGTGTTTTTATTTATGAAATGAAAATAGTACCTACTCATAAGGAAGCTGTGAAAACTAACCAAGAGATGTTTTTAATTACTGAATCAATAGTAGATTTTTTTTTTTTTTTTTTTGAGTTGGAGTCTTCACTCTGTCTCCCAGACTGGAATGCAGTGGCCGCTCCCGGCCACCGCAGCCTTGACCTGCTGGGCTCCGGCGATCCTTCTGCCTCAGCCTTCCAAGTAGCCAGAACTACAGGCGCGCACTACCACACCAGCTAATTTTTTTTTATTTAGTGTAGAGATTAGGTCTCGCCAAGTTGCCTGGGCAGATCTTGAACCCGTGGACTCAGGCAATCCACTCACTTCAGCCTCTCAAAGGCGTGGGATTATAGACTGAGCCACCGAGCCCGGCAGATGTTGTTTTCTTTGTTTTGTTTTGTTTTTTGAGTTGGAGTCTCACTCTGTCGCCCAGACTGGAGTGCAGTGGCCGCTCCCGGCCACCGCAGCCTCGCCTGCTGGGTTCCGGCGATCCTTTCGCCTCAGCCTTCCAAGTAGCTGGAACTACAGGCGTGTGCTACCACACCCGGCTAATTTTTTGATTTATTGTAGAGATGAGGTCTCGCTGCCCAGGCAGGTCTCGAACCCACGGGCTCAAGCAGTCCACTCACCTCAGTCTCCCAAAGGCGCGGGATTACAGGCTGAACCACCGAGCCCGGCTAGATGTTGTTTTTAATATCTCTGTTGTGGCTTCCTAATGTAACTGTCCTCCTTGAGAAAACTCAATATCAGTAGTTGTTTCTTTTCCTCAAGGTTTCTTGAGGAAAAAGTGTATCACACTTCTAGACTTTAAACTTTACTATAAAGCTACAATAATCAAAACAGCCTGGTGTTGATGCAAAAACAGACATATAGACCAATGTAATAGAATAGAGATTCCAGAAGCAAAACCTCAATTCTTCAACCAACTCATCTTCAACAAACCCACCAACAACAACCACTGAGGAGAGGAGACTCTATTCATTCAAAGGTACTGGGAAAACTGGCTGACCACTTGCAGAAGAATGAAGCTGAACCCTTACCTATCAACACACACACACACACACACACACACACACACACAAAAATCAACTCTAAATGGATCAAAGATCTAAACTTAAAATCTCAAACTATAAGAATCTGAGAACACACAAGAGACACCCTTATGCACATTGGAACAGGCAACCAGTTCTTGAACATAATATCAAAAGCATATGCCATAAGAGATAAGATAGACAAGTGGGACCTTTTGCAAAGCAAAAGAAACCGTCAAGAGAGTGGGAAGGTAGCCCACAGAATAGAAAAACAATTTGCTAACTATATATCTGACAAGGGCCTAACCTCCAGGATCTACAAGGAACTTAAATGAACCGAAAGTAAAAACAACAACAAACAATCCTATTTAAAAGTGGGCAAAGGTAATGAATAAACACTTCTCAAAAGAAGACATATGAACAGCCAACAGATACATGAAAAAAGTGCTC